ACATTTGTAAAAATAAAAAATCTTACATTAAATTCTGCCTTTTGATTTACTTGTATCTAACGGCTTGTATATGTAATAAACAAAACCGTTAGACGTAAATAGGATAAACGGCCAAAATGGAGAAAATAACATACATTGATATAAAACAATCCTCACACACACACACACATATATATATATATATATATATATATATTGAAAAATGGGTTTTTTAATATATTCATTGTCTATATATAAAATGAAAAATGGGTTTTTTAATATATTCATTGTCTTTAATGAAATTATTATTAAAATTTCTTAAATCTTAAAGATTTTACTTATTTAATGTGGCTATGTTTATTTCTTTTCACACAATTATGTTATATAAAAAACTATAGGAAAAGATTCATTTCCGAAGAGAAATACTCCCATAAAGTCTAAATTAGAAGAAACTATTGGATTGTTCCCATGGTAATGGGTTGCTTTTTCTTTAATTCTCTTTGTGGAGTAAAAACTTAGAAAATACGGATACGATATTGAAGTACGATAAGTGTTAAAATCATAAAATATTTGTAATCTAGTTATACAAGATTAAAATAAAATTAACTAACACAACTAATTAACATATATATAAACACAAATTTAAATTAAAACAAAGATTTTTAAAAAAATTAACATTTATTGATGTAAATATAATAAATAGTAGTTATTTAATTATTATCGTACATTATTTGTGTTAATATAAAATTATTAATTTTTTTATAAAATATACTTAAAATTAAAGCATTTATTTATATAGTGGTGTAGTCCAAGAAGATTTCCATAAATCTGTTTTTGACTTAACTTAGCCTCCTTTTTGTGGGCGTAACACATAGGCCCATAATAGGAAAGGAGAATAGGATTAATAAGTTTGACTAAGTACTCCCTGCATTCATTATACGTTGGAAAGCAGTCGCTCCACAACTTTTCCTATCGATAGTTGTGATTAAGGAATGATGTGAATTATAAAGGAAGATTCTGGTCTTTCAAACCTTGCATGAATATCAGAGCAAGTAAGAAGCCTTTCAAAAAAATTAAGAATTATGTCTTCAACAAGTCTAAACTTTTTGGTATTCTAATTTCATATAATCCTATTTTATGATTTCTTACATTTGGTATCAAAGTCTTAATTATATGATTTATAGGACCCAATCATTTATTATAGGACATGGTCACATTTTGGGATTGAAATTTCTTACCCTGCTCTTGAATATGTAAATTTTTAATTTTTTTTTAAAAGAAATTAGACCTAATTACCTTGGTTTTTTTTTTACATAATAACTAATAAACATTTGATCGATTGATAATTAATTCTCTACTTTTTTTTTCATTACAAAGCATAGAGAGTTTCAAAAAATTATTTTCATGTTAAGGTTTTCAAGAAGTTCCTATTTTTAAATTGGTATCAAAAATAGATTTTCATATGTACATATATATGTGAACTTGAGTTAAGAATTGATGTTTTGAATCAGGCTTATATGATAACAATGATTGGTTTTATTTTAATTTTTATTTAATAAAAATATTACATTATTCTTGCTGCATTATTCGTTGAACAGTAAAACTTAACAGTTGAAGGAATTGTAATTTAGTTAATATTATGTTTGACTATATAATTAGTGATGGCATGCCCCATGTTATTAATTTTGGATAATTTGTTGAATGATGCTATGGTTGTCTTATAATTTATTAGAGGCTGTGTTGAGATATATAAAATCATTAATGTAGCCTCACCCAACAGCTTAAGCTTTTGGGTTGAATTGGTTCTTTACATGGTATCAGAGCAGGGTTGTGCTCGAGCTAGCCTGATGATTGGCTAGGAGGCGGGTTAAGTACTTGGCCCAAGAGTACTCAGTTGAGGGGAGCATCCCAATGGTGGGTTTCACACTTGAGGGGGAGATTGTTGGGATATTCAAGTGTGACGAGTCCCACATTGGTTGGTAATGGGCTAAGTGAAGAGTGTATAAAGGGACCCATGGACCCAAAGCCTTAAGGTTTTGGGTTGAGACATGGTGTCAAATCCACTTGCTATGGTTGGTGTAGCCTTAGCCCATTGGTGGTGGTCCCCCGCCACGGGCTTCCCCCTGGACCCGCCTGACATTGGTATCAGAGCCTCGTGTCCCGGGTTCGATCCTCGCCGCCCCCCACTTTCTTTCAAGTGGAATTTCTTTGTTCGCACAGGTAGGTGGACCTGTGCATTGTCCACCCTTCAAGCCCAGTGGGCTCTCGTGTGAGGGGGCGTGTTGAGATATATAAAATCATTAATGTAGCCTCACCCAACAGCTTAAGCTTTTGGGTTGAATTGGTTTTTTACAGGCTGCCACCTCTTATCCAAGTTAATGAGGAATTTTGGAAGGTCGTGAATTATTGTGGTTATGTTTCAAGCATTTACATGTTGTATAATGTTTCTATTGCTAGTTGGAGTACTGTATTTTTTCAATTTTCTTCAAAATCTATTCATATTTTACTATTTTACTTTGTCATGGAAACATGACTGGTTATACTTACAGAGCAACTTTTCCTAAGATTTCCAAATCAATATGAAAGTATGAATATAATTTTTGTTAGCGATGTTGTCCTCAGCAATAAACAATATCAAACATTAAAGTAACCTTGTGAAAGAAAACACCTAAAATTCAAGCATAATAGTAAATAATGAATGGAACAACAAATGCAAAAGTCACATAAAAAAGTATTAATTATGTTGTTGTCCTCGCTAGGTTGCTCGTTGGAGCGAGCAAAGACCAGCGAAGAAGACCAGAGAGAGCAGTTTTTAAGTAATTGCTCGCTAAAATGCTTGATAGAGCGAGGAATTTCGGCGAGGAATGCCAGAGTATTTCTTTCGTGTAGCTGCTCGCTAAGAAGCTCGATAGAGCAAGCAAGTTCAGCGAGCAACATCAGATTGCAGATTTTGGCTTCTGCAACTTACCAAGGTTCCTGGATTTGAAAATTCCACCTTGTATGAGTTCCAAGACATAATTCTATATCTCTAGTGTCTAGAAAACATGCATGCATCATTTACTAAAATAATCCTTAAATAATTACAAGATTTAATTGTCACATTTTATAAATATGCATGTCTAGGTTCTAAATTCACATCCATACATACTTTTATCTTCCTTTTCAATAAAGAAGACCCAAACCAAAACCAGAAAATATGCATGCATTATGTACTAACACTATTAGAAAGTTCATTTTTTCGACCGAAAAATTTCGTCGAAAATAATAAAAATTCTGTCAAAAATGAAGTTTTCGACGGAATTCAGGCCATCGAATTTCTTTGTTGATAATAATTTTTCGACGGAATTAAAGATTTCGTCGAAAAGTTTTGACGGAAAATCAATGGAATTCCGTCGAAAATTGTTGTGATGATTTTCGACGGAAAACGGATTCAATCGAAAATATTTGATGGAAAATCAATGAATTTCCGTAAAAAACTGATGTAAAGATCTTCAACGGAAAAAAATTCCGTCGAAAATTTTCAACAGAAAATCAATGGAATTCCGTCGAAAATTGTTGTGATGGTTTTCAACGAAAAACGGATTCCGTCAAAAAATTTCAACGAAAAATCAATTAATTTCTAACGAAAACTGATGTAAAGATTTTTGACGAAAAACAAATTCCATCGAAAATTGACACTTTTCTAATAGTATAAAGCAAGTCCCTAAATGGAATGTATAATTCATTTGCCACATTTTATGAGTATGCATGGACAAAGTTCCAATCCAACATCAATCCATACTTTCACCTTTCTTTTTCCACTAAGATGATCCATACACATTCAAAAGACCTGCATGTGTCCCTAAAGGCATGATTTCGAATTTCAGAATAGAGTAAAGTAGGATGTTCTATAACTTACTTATTGAGGATGATGACCTTGTACGATTTTTTTTATCTCTTATCCGCCTCTACTTTGTGTCCCTCTTTCCTTTAACTGAAAATCTAGTGGAGCACCGCAAGAAGAAGTGAAAAATAGTGGTCAGGTTGTGCTCAACTTGGAGGAGATGAAGAGGAGTGAGGATGGTGAATAAGCTGTGGAGCGAATTTCCTTGTAATGGGAGGTGTGAAAAAGAATGTGATTTTGAGGAAGGGTTTCTAAAAATTGGAAGTGGAGAAGTGTGGAAAAATGAAGAAGGCAGGGTATCACTACAAGAAAAGTGGTTTTCAGAGGCGGTTATATTTGCATTTTGAGGCGGTTCAAACCGCCTCTAAATGCCAGGTTCGGCGGTTCATAAATCGCCTCGTTTACCACTGTCGCGAGGCAAAATACGGCAGTTTTCACAAACCACTGCAATAACCGCCTCTACATGACAATTTGAGGCGGTTATTCTAACCGCCTCCAAAACATATTCTAAGGCGGTTATTTTAACATCCTCCACTATCGCCTCCAAAAGATAATATGAGGCGGTTATTTTAACCGCTCCAAAAGGCAATATGAGGTCGGTTATATTAACTGCTTTCAAATAACGTGTAAGTTAAAAAAATCATAAAATATGTGGTCATAATTTACTTCATATAAAATAAATAATTTTATATTTATTTAATCATCATACATATTATTGATTGACGGGTTAATCCACCACCCACCATAAAATAAGATGAATTCATTTTTTTAATTCATATTTAGTGACAGGCCAACTTGCCCGGCCTAATTTACCCGATTAATAGCGGATCGGGGCGGGGCAATCCATTTTCCTACCCGTACTTAGAACTTAGAAGCAACCCAACCCCATTTTACCAACCAAAGCCATCATATCGTGGCCTGATATTTTATTTATAGAGATTAGAAAGAATACAATATAAAATTCAGCGTAGATTATTGTACAACTTATGCCCCAATGGCTAGTCGGATAATCTAGCTTTTATTTGTATATTTGTGACATACGATTTAAAACACAAACATTTTTCCTAAGCACATGAGACATGACTCAAACTCAAAAGTGAGCTTGATAAATAAATGACATCGTACGTTAATCATGCAGTCAAAGATCATAAACAATGGGAACCAAACTCAACTCGCTTTTCCTTCCAACTGCCAATCCAAAGTGCTCAGCCATATCCAAATCCTCAGGTTTCAACCCATTAGGGAGTTCCCAGTTGAAGTGATAGAGTAATAGAGCCAGAGGAAGCATAATGCTGGCTAAACCAAACGACATGCCTGGGCACATTCTCCTTCCTGCCCCAAAAGGAATATACTCAAAGTTATTCCCTTTGAAATCAATGGAACTGCCATCGAACCTCTCTGGCACAAACCTCTGAGCATCAGTCCAACAGTTGGGGTCTCTTCCAATTGCCCATACGTTTACCATCACTTTAGTCTTAATAGGAATTTCATACCCATCAATGATGGTTAGTTCAGAGCATTCTCTAGGGATCAATAAAGGAGTAGGTGGGTGTAACCTCAATGTCTCTTTGATCACCAATTTTAAGTAACTAAGTTCCTCTATATCAGTTTCATGTATTATTTCCTTTCCTTTAAATGCTTGTCTTAACTCAGCTTGTGCTTTCTCCCTCACTCTTGGATTTCTCATCATTTCTGTCATAGCCCACTCTATTGTCGATGCTGAAGTATCAGTTCCAGCAGAAAATACGTCCTACACAAACAATTGAAATATTTTCATGAAGGTTTTGGTAAAATAAAAAATATGATGAAATTGTTAAATAAATAAATAATTAAATAACAATTGGTAAAATCAATGGAGGAGCCACGTTCTAAATTTTCTTTTCTTTTAATGAACAAGCATTGAAAAAAGGAAGAAGATACTTTGACATTATTGGCATTGTTATGGAATTTATTGTTCATAGATTTCAAGACATGAGATCTTACATATATAGAACAATTATAAAAGGTTTTTTTTTTTCTTCTAACTCAAGAGACAATAGTTATTTAATTTTTATCTTTTATATTATTTATGGTGTTCTTACAAAAACTTATATCATAAATTTTTATATTTATTTAGTGATCTTGCTGACCTCTTGGACTCGGCCTCCGCCACTGAAATTGGCTTATTGGTCAAATGTTAAAAGTTTCATCTCGTCAGTGTATAAAACAAAAATTGTTATTAAAACATTTTAAAAGTTTTCAAAATAGGATAATGAGTTTTACGTACTAACATGCATTAAGAGGTGCTTAAACAAAAAAAAAATGGCATGCAACGAGTTTCTCCTTGATTTTTTAAAGCGGGAGAAGGGAAAAGCACAGGAAAGAGGATTTATGTAGCCTATTATTATTCAGGTTTATTTAAAAGACTACATGTTTTGCGGAATTCACTTACCAATATCACAGCTTTGATGTTTGCGGTGGTAATTTGGATCTCGAGATTCCCACTTTTTTGGATTCTCAAAAGAACATCAACAAGATCTTCCTCCTGTACTTCAACTCTGCCTTCTATTGCTCTTCTTTGCTTTTTTTTATGCTCCGTGACAATGTTTTCTAAGATCTTGTCAACCTGTTTGTGCAACTTCTCCAATTTCGGCTTCACCCCAGTTATGAAGTGTATAGGTTTCATTGAAGGAAACAAATCAGCGAGGTCAAATCCTCCTGCCGATGCTATTATTTTTTTAGTCAAAGATATAAATTCATCTTGGTCCTCAGATTTGTCACCAAAAGCTGCCCTGGAAACAGAAGCACTTACCAAAGAGAAAATTCTACTAGTAAGATCGATTGGTGAACCTGCTGATGTTCGAATTGCTTCTATAAATTTGGCAGTCTCATCTTCTCTAATAAAAGAGAAAGACTGAACTTTCTTGGAACTTAGAAGCTCCATCGTACATATTTTCCTCATTTGTCTCCAGTAATCACCATATGGAGCAAAAGCAATATCTGTTGCCCCATAAGTCAAAATCTGAGCAGGGAGAAGTTGTGGCCTATTCACAAAAGAAACATCATGGGTTTTCATAATCTCCTTGGCCAACCTTGGAGAGGATACAACAACAACAGAAATTTCACCAAGTTTGAGGTGCATGAGAGGCCCATATTTGTGGGCAAGTTCTCCAAGAGAATGGTGTGGAAGAGAACCTGCAAGTGCTAGTTGATGCAGGTTCCCAATGAGAGGTAACTTCCTTGGACCTGGGGGCAGTTTGGGGACAAGAGTGCCTTTTGGCTTGTAATATTTTACAAGCCAATGCAACAGCGAAAACAGAAAGAAGCTGATAACCAAGAAGGACGCTTGAGTTTCCATGGCTTTAGATTAGAGGTACTCAACTCTTAGGTGTTTATATTGTTTGCTGAGCGCTGGTTCTTATTTATAGAATCTTCAATCTATATGAGGACAACGATCTTTCCACTTTTTTTATTTTTATTTTTTTAAATCTCTACCAGGGGTGCTGAATTCAACTATTGCTTGGTATGAATCTAGTTTATTCAAAGTCAGAAGGTAGAATACATTTACACATATTACGTACATGTAAAAATTTTCTTTTGTATACGAAGTTATATATAGGAAACTGACAAAAAAGACAAAAATAATTAAATAAATAACAAATGATTTGAATTCAATTTATAGCGGAGGAGAAGATACAAAACGTAAACGAGAATATCTACTCCCGAGTAAAAAAAGATTGAGAATATGAACGCACATTACTGAAATAAAGTTTGATTTGAACAAATATTATTTAGTAAAAAATTTGAAAATTAACATTTTAATGATTAACAATAATTGTAAATAGATAATAAAAATTGCTAATATATATATAGAAGGTCCATCCTCACTTAAATACGCATCAACCTCTATTGTAAGATCAAAATAATGTTACTGTACTATTTTTCTTTTCTAGTAATATGACTTTTGTTCGTTTATAACTTTCAGATGAAGTATTATATTTTCATTACTCAAGGAAGAGGTGAAGACACAATCAACACGCTACACGGAATGCTAATCATAAATCATAATTATAACAAGTTGATAGCTACATAAACAATAAGAAAAAGAAAAAGTCATCCCTATGTATTAAGTACCCATTTGATGGGTTTTTTTTAGTTTAATTTTTTTTATATAAGGAGAAACTTAATCAAACATATTTTTTACAAATTTTTTTATCATAAAATGTTTTTTTTTAAATGAATAAAATAAAATAAAAAAGCTAAAAACTTTCAAGAGGAATTTTCTTTGGAGATGTATGTTAATTTTTTGATGTTTTCATATTTATTTTTCAATATTACCCTTATTCTAAGTTTATATTTACAAATTTTACTCTTCACTCTAATAATTTAGACTAATAACAAATCATTTTATCTTCCCTTTTCAAAATCTTAAGAACATGCAGTTTTATATAAACATCAAATAACTTTTGGTTTTGTTTTTTAATCTCTTTTTTTTTTTTAACTTTGGTTTAACAAAAAGTAGCCTTAAATTTTAAATAAAAAAGATAGGGAAGGATCCGTTTACAAACTTTTTTGATAAATTTTTACAAATTACACTATCTTCTCTCGGGAGAACATAGTGAAATTAATGTTCTCCCGGGAGAAGATAGTGTAATTTGTAAGAGTTGTAAACAAAAAAATTTGTAAATATAACTTGTCCCAAAAAAGATACCTCAAACATATTGCAAAAAAGAAAAAATTCAACTTTCATCTAGAATTATTTAATTAAGGATATTTCAAACTCATTACTCGTAGCTTGAATCAGTATTATAAACTCGGATCAGTCATAGATAAGGTATCGGGTCAGTTGATGATCACTAATTCAACCAATAAATTACTAATTAAATCGTTTATCTAAATTTTTAAAACAATTAGTAATAAATTAAGGAAAAAAAGTTTCCGATGTTACTTTAGATAACTTTATCTAAAGTTCATCGAAACGACGTCGTTTTGGGGTTGAAAAATTGAAAAATTAGAGTGATAAAGAATATTATAACCCTGAAATAAATTAAAATTATAAAAATACCATGATTTTTGTCCTAAAACGACGTCGTTTTGACGAACATTAGATAAAGTTATCTAAAGTAACATCAGAAAAAACAAACCCATAAATTAATGGGATTGAAATTTCTCTTGGAAAAAAAGATAAAGTCATCTGTGCAACCCAAAACGACGTTATTTTGAGTTTGGAAAGAAATGAAGGGTATTTTAGTAAAATTTATGATATAAGAGTAAAGTAAAATTTATAAAATACCCATCATTTGTTTTAGGATTTGTCTACTCTTATATTGTAAGAGAGATCATATCTTATGTTAAGATATAAAGTGGTGGGGGCTACCACTAAAGAAAAATGAAAAAATAGAAGTACAATTATTGAAGTATCTATGGTATAAGATAGTAGTTTCCTACAATATGAGAATACTATTTTCTTTTTTTAATCAAAAAACGACGTCAATTTGGAATTGCATAAAATAACTTTATCTAACAGTGGTGGAGAAACCATTTTTCTAAAAAAAAAAAATAATAACGGAAAAAATATGACCAACTCAAGACATTGAATTTAGTGTGTGTGTATATATATATATATATATATATATATATATATATTAAGATGTGGCAAGTTATATTTACAAACTTTTTTATTTACAAACTCTTACAAACTATACTATCTTCTCTCGGGAGAACACTAGTTACACTATGTTGTCCCGGGAGAAGATAGTATAATTTGTAAAAAATTGTAAACTTTTTTTGTAAACGGATCGTTCCCATATATATATATATATATATGGTTCACTTTTTCTGCAAATGAGTTATCTGCAGTAAGTTCAATACAACGTCGTTTTGGGGCGAAAATCATGGTGTTTTTATAATTTTATTTTATTAATTTCAGGATTATTATAGTCTTTATAATTATAATTTTTTAATATTTCAATCCCAAAATAACATCATTTTGGGAGTAAATGCAGATAACTTATCTGCATTAACTGCAGAAATATTTTTCTATATATATATATATATATATATATATATATATATATATGAGAAATGATCTGTTTACAAATTTCTTTTTTACAACCTTACAACTTACATTATGTCTTACCTATAATACTCTACTCAAGAGTGTATTACTAGTGTAATTTATAAACAAAAATTTTATAAATATAATCTTCCCACACACACACATATATATATATATATATATATATATATATGAGGTAGGATTCTTTTACTCCGTGTCAAATTTGAAGTTTGACACCTCATCTGAGAGCCGCGTTAGATAAAAAAAGATCAATGGTATCATCACATGTTTACAAATCAGAGTCGTTGATCTTTTTTGATCTAATGGCTCCCAGATGAGTTGTCAAACTTCAAATTTGACACCGATGTCAAAGGATCTTACCTTTATATATATATATATATATATATATATATATATATATATATATATATATATATAGATATATTTTTCTTATGTTGTAGGAAAAAATTATCTCATGTTGTAGAAATAAAAGTATAAGTGGGACCATAGATAAGAGGAGAGAAAAAAAGAGTGGTGAGACCCAACTTCTTTTTGTGTGTGTAGGAGAGTGGTTTATCTCATGTAAAATGAGATAAACATAACCCATATATATATATATATATATATATATATATATATATATATATATATATATATATATATGAGGTAGGATTCTTTGACCCTTATAACTTTTTATTAATAATTAATTACCAAATTGACCTTCATTATAAACTATTTCAAAAATTTAACCTCCCCACCAAACATAACATCAATCTGCCCCTGTTTACCGTTGACCACCAAGCCTACCCAGGTACACCTCTCCCTACCCAGGCATTTTTTGAAAATTTATGCCTACCAAGGTAGGGAGGGGTGTACTTGGATATAGTTCTTGACATTTGAGAAATTGCTTGAATTATTTACTCGGGTAGGGAGGGGTGTACTCGGGTAAATCTCGACTAGAAATCCAAAAACCATTCAAATATTATCTCTCTCTCTCTCTCTCTCTCTATATATATATATATATATATATATAGGGTTTTATATTTCTCATTCAACATGAGAATTGAATTCTCATGTTGTAGAGACAAAAAGCATGTGGGACCCGTATGTAAGAAAAAAATTATGTGTAGGATATATATATATATATATATATATATATATATATATATATATATATATATATATATATATGGTTTTATATTTCTCATTCAACATGAGAATTCACATGAGAATTGAATTCTCATGTTGTAGAGACAAAAAGCATGTGAGACCCGTATGTAAGAAAAAATTATGTGTAGGACCCATGTTGGCATAGAAATCGAAGGGTGCGTAGCAAAATTCAAATTCTCACGTTAAATGAGAATTATAAAACCCTTATATATATATATATATATATATATATATATATATATATATATATATATATTCAGCGCAGGTCGCAGGTTGAATCCGCTTAACTGGGGTCGAAAGGAAACAACGCCTTTCTCATGTTATCACCACTAACCGACAAATTTTAAAATCCAGCAAACTTGAATCCAATTTGTTAGTAAAAATTTTGAATTTGATATTTTTTTTATAGAAGATAAAATTATTTTTTACATATATAAAAATATGTGGGGTGCAAATGCGGTTATGTGAAGATAACATAGAGAAAAAGAAAATTTGGATTCTATATATTTTTATATATATGTAAGATATAATTTTATTTTCTATAACACAAGAAATATTACACCCATAAATTTATTGGCATATAATACACACTATACACCAAATTGTACTTATAATATTTACTCTCACTATTTATGTATGCAGCAGCCAACCTCGCCAGTGTTCCGACTTGCCAGACAACGACTCATTCACCGGTGATCAAGGTGGACAACGACTCACTTTTAAGGAATTATTCCTTTGTCATTCTGCCAAAGTCTCTTTTGTTCACCATGCATTTCTAGGCAACTTCTTTTTTACAATTGAGATATTGTGGAGCATTTTTAACATTTTACTTATATTTTAGTATTTTGTTTATTAAGAGCATTTTTTATATTTTATATAATAAGGATATTTTTTACATTAAAAAGTTAAATGATACAAATTGCAACTAGAATTTTTATTTGTTATATAACAAACTGATGATAAAAAATATTTATATAGAGTTTCATTTTCAGTTAAATACATATCAACCTCGATTCCAAGATCAAAATAGAAATTGTCATTCACTAATTGCGTAGTATGTATTCGCCTTCTTTTCGAGTAGTGTGACGGTTGTACATATTACTCTATAAAAAGAATGAAGAGTACATATG